AAAACCTAACGGTATCTATCTGATTCAAAATGTTTTTCCAAATCTGGTGTGACCATTGTTACTAAACACTTTTTTCTTTTCTTAAAATCTTGTGTTCAGGAAGAGATGGAGGAAACAGGAGAAACAACTATTTACGATAATTACAAGTTTGTGACAAAGGAAGATCTGGAGAAGTTGCAGCTGACTCATTTGATTGGCACAGAACTTTTGAAAGCTCAAATGCATGGATATTTTATGAAACACGATCTGTACAAGAAAGTGAGTCCTTGACATTTTCATACACTACTAACTTTGGATTAGTCTCTAAGATGTTTCTTCCTAATAATTTGTTTTTACAGGCTTTGCCAGTGGTTAAACCTTCTGCGCAAAAGAAACTAGAAGCAGAACTTAGCCAGAGAATCACAGTTAGTATTTATAATCTAAACAGCATCTGCAGATTCACTACGTTGGTCACTTACATGCATCTATCTGTGTGTCTTTTGCTTCCAGCAGAAGAAGATAAGTTTGCCAAAGGTAAACCGTGATCTCGCAGCCACCATCCACAACAAGGAGGATGCGGAAGAGGATGAGGAAGCTGCAAAAAAAGTGCCGAAGAAGAAGAAACCTGGACTTAGTGTCGAGGATTTCTCAGGTGGTCGGTTTAACAACATGTTTCATAATCCGGTATTAACAACGATCTTCATGAGACTTTTGTCTGTTTCTTTTTGTTGCTCTATTTCACATCGTATTGAGAATCTCTTTTGTGGCTTTTCAGGACTTCCAAATCGATCCAGAATCATATGAATATCGTGTCCTACACCCTGTTGCTTCTTCTATTAAGAAACCTTCTTTGTTAGATGAACACTTTGATGCTGTAACAGATGATGATGAGAACAACGGTTCTGATGTATCACAAGGTTCAGACGACGAAGCAGAGGATGGGAGACCAAACAAGAGATCGAAAACTCCAAAGTTTGTTCCGTTTAAAGTGATTTAGACATCACATTTTATATGTTTCTGTTCTTTCCTAATGTGGAAGGTTTGGTGTCAGGTTGTTTGAAGTGAAAGACGAGCGGCATGCTGAAGCTTTCCACAACCGTAGATCACTAGCTAAAGAAGACAGTCTTACAATGGGCGAGCGTGTTAAGGCTATGGAAAACCAGCGTGGCAACTTTGGAGCCTCTAAAGATGTTAAGTTCGGTCCTGGAGGATCCCGGGAGATGTCTTTCAATGCTAGAAGCTCATCCACATACAAAGAAGATAGAGATGATGAGGATGGAGACGGGCAGAGAAACAAGAGGAGAGGATAAATGTTTGCTCTCAGAGGATATTTTATATTAGTTTTGGGGAAAATGTGGGTCAGTTAAGAGAATTTCGGAAACTTTGATTCATGTTTTCAAATTTTGGAACGTTTTTGACCAGTTCTTGAAATGCTTTTAGTCTGACGTATGAGTCCGAACAACATCATTTGCTTGCTTGTGTTAATTGTTAAAGGTAACGATGGAAGTTTGCCGTAGATGGGTAGTGCTTCTACTTGTTACTTTTTTTTATTCTACATATATTAGATGAGAAGCAACTTAAGTAGATTATGTTTAGTTAGGTTGCATGGAATCGGAACGGATACGTAGAAACGAAACGTTTCGAAACGTAAAAACGTGATTTAAAAAAAAAATAGAAATGGAAATGTTTCAGAAACGTCCATAATATAAATATATATATATATATGTATGTATGATTAATCAACATGTAAATTTAATTTTTTTTGTTCAATTTATGTAAAAAGAAATTTACGTAATATAAGTATTTTGGGTACATTTTATTAAAATTATAATCAATAACTAGAAAAGTAACACATGTTAGCGTTCGATAAAACTATGGAGCGACTTCGTTCCAAATCAAATCATTATACTGAAATGATAACAAATATCAAAGAGAATATCAAAATATATGATAATAAACATGTAGAATCACTAACATCAAATGCCAAATAGTTATTTTGCGTTTCTAATTAAAATCGCGAGTTTTCGAATTAGAATCACGAGTTTCCAAATCAGAAACGCAAGTTTCCATCGTGTTTCCAAAATGAAATTTTCAAGAAACGTGTTTCCAAAGAGTTTCCTATAGTTTCCAAAAGATTCCGACTCCGAAACGTTTCTGAAACAAGAAATGGACCTTGAACGGAGTTTCCATGCAACATTTGTAGCTCATAATATGTTGGCCAATAAAATTATAAAAAAAATATTAAGAAAATAGGTCAAAATTTGAGTTACTTGGAGGACATTAATACAAGTTGACAGTTCAAAAAAATCAACCTTATTAAAAGTTATAAAAAAGATATAAATCTACCATAAATACAGAAATAAAGGAAAATAAAATATAAGTTGACAAACATGAGAACCAAGTTAAAATCTAACTGTTTAATATAAGTAGATCATATTGATTGAATTAAAATATAAACCACTGGTTTGTGTGGAAGCACCATTGTCTAGTGGTTAAGGTTTAAAGGCTTTTATACCATAACTGGAGTTCGAATCTCATGCTACACAATTCTACATCAAGAAGGTTTCAGTTCCTGGAGAAAGTGAATGGCGAATTATGCAGATAGGAGAAAAAATTTACAAGAGATCTTCAGCATGGCGTAAAATGTACCGTCAAAAATAGATCTTATCAGGACGACTCAGAGTGATCCAATCAGACGTGAATCTGCATAAGGCAGGTAAAATTATCGGTTGTAATATTATCTATGTAATATTTTCATAGTTTGTAATGCATAATTATATAGTATTAAAAAAAACCAACGATTCATTCAAACAAAGTAACTTTGTTAAAGCTTTTTTGTTAACTTTTTAAAAGCTAAAACAAGGTAATTAAAAAGTTAACGAAAAATTAATAAATCGACAAGGAAAAACGATCACATGTAGATTGATGGATATAAACAATAAATCTATAATTATAATAAATCCACTTTTTAATCACATTTATCAATCAAGGTGTAAGACCATGTCCACGGGGGTATTTAGCCCAAGGTACTAAAGAAAAGCACAAAACAAATAAATGAAAAAAGGAGAAAAAAGAAAGGAGCGATATTTAAAATGGTGTTTGAGTAATGTTAAGGAGCCTTACGTGGCATTTTTGATTGGACCGAATATGTTCTGTGTCTCTCTCTTCGTCGGGGGTTTGGGACAAAAATCAAAGGTCTTCTCTTGTTTTCTCCGTCTTCTCTCTTCTCTTCTCTCTCGACGATTCCGTCTGCTCTCAATCCGTCGTCTCGGTTGCTCCATCTTCTCTGTGAGGCCATCGTCTCTCTCGGTTAGTCGCCTCTCTTGATTACTCCGTCGTGTGTCTCACTCCATATTCTCTCTCGATCCGTATTCTCTCTCGATCGGGCCGGCTTCTCTATCGCTCTATGTCTTCTCTCTGGTCCATCTTCTCTGGTAATCCGTGAGCCTTCTTCGTCGGTCCGTCTTCTCTCTCTCTCTGTCATCCTCTAATCTGATCATTGATGGGTTTCGCTCCGTCTTCCTCCCCGAAGCTTCTCTTCTGCAAGCTTTTGGAGAAAGAGTCCTCCACTTTCATGATCTTCTCGCGGACATCTCTCATTGGGTATAGGCACCGGAAAATCGAGAAACACCAGAAGCATAGGTGTATTGGAGGCTTTAAAGTATACTCCAATACAATATGATAAAAAATTATAAAAGGTGAGAACATAAAAAGCTTCAAAATGTTAGACTATACTATATAAGATATATAAGGTAGCATATATAAGGTAAACAAGCATATAAGAGAAATGCGGGTGCAAAAACAAAAGTGTATACCTATGCGGGTGATATAGTATAGAAAAAACACTTCATTGCTTATGTTGGCATGTTAGCCAAAGTAAGGGCTACCAAAGTAAAAAACTATATAGTTAAGATGTAACATGTTACCCTATCAAAAAACCAATTTCATTGAAGGTCAATTTAAAAGGCAGCATCCAAAACAAAGGTCTTTGTCTTTGCCAAATTGGATAATCCAGATACTATATAATATACTATTGAGTCGTTAGTATAGTACGGGATTCGAAAGGGAGGAAACTGGAATCCATGTTAACCGTTACTGGAAAATGTATAAAGAGCCGCTGAAGAATAGCCACATTACAGACTATATTATCTTGCTCTCGTATAGAAAGAATTATGTATAGTACAAAACAAAAGATCCAAATGTATGGTACCTTTTCGTTTTGGTGACAAAAAAACAAAGAAACACACAATATATACTACTAGAAATATAGAATAGTTTGTTAAGACAACAATTTACAAGAAACATTGTTTATTATAATATATATATATATATATGATATAGTATAGGTACCGAAAAATTGAGAAACACCAGAAGCATAGGTGTATTGGAGGCTCTAAAGTATACTCCAATACAATATGATAAAAATTATAGAAGGTGAGAACATAAAAAGCTTGAAAATGTTAGACTGTACTATATAAGATATATAAGGTAACATATATAAGGTAAACAAGCATATAGGGACATGGAACTCTAACGAAAATAACTGCAAGAAAGGACATTCATTATTTTAGAGCATAACTTAGTACACAACATGATGACATAGTGAAAACAAGGATAAGAGGAGGTCTGATGAGGCACATGCTTCGATTTCTTAGTTGAAAAGAAGCGAAAGAATGATACCAGCGCAAACGAAAAACCCAACCCAAGAAAAGGCAATACACTGCTGGTACAATCTCTCTCTCTCTCTCTCTCTCTCTCTCTCTCTCTCTCTCTCTCTCTCTCTCTCTCTCTCTCTCTCTCTCTCTCTCTCTCTCTCTCTCTCTCTCTCTCCGTAAGCATGTTTTTTATCAGCTCTATCCATCTCAAATTGAAGTAGTTGTTTATTCTCTTTCGGCTGGTAGGTTCGAACCCAGTCTCAAACAAGCACTCTGGCAAGCCGAACTCTTCCATACTATACATGTAAAGGCTAGACGTTAACAACATCAGTGTAATTGAACCAATATATAAACAAGTTTGGGCACAAACAAATGGTGAAAATGGTACAAAAGAAACATAACTGTAACTATTCAGGTTACCTAACCTACTTCGGTGGACACTATAGTAGCGGAAGAGCGGATAAGAAATATGTTTCTTTTATATGATGGCACTAAACATGTATGACTACACTATAAACATTTAGCGCCAATACTTTTCCTCTTACACTGCTGGTGTAGAACAACATCGGTCTATACTATATATGTTAACCAATAGTATAGTCATGTATCTTATCAACATTAATTCAGACAACCACTATATAAGAAAAGCAGCAATGTATTCAAGTTAACAACCTAATTCATTTGCCAGTTTAGAAGACGAAAAAATGAAAGTAAATATTTCACATTTACATGTGGTTACCACCCATGAATTATATACTATAAGCATGTTAGTAATAATAAATATCCTTGTAGAAGGTTCTATACTATAAACTCAGATCTATAGTCTACTGAATTTTCTCATCACATCAATTAATCTCACACATGAATCACCAAACAAGGTTCTTTAAAAAGATGCCTACAACAGCGAACCTGACATGCATCTACTATCTGACTTTAACAAAAACAAGATTCAAACCTTTTTCCCCATACCTTCTCTCCGCAGCCTTGATACTCGTTTCCCCAGATCTGCACACAAATAAACCGACTTTCTGATATGAGGGTCTAAACCTCCTGCTGGGATGGCTTCGCACCTAATGAAAACGAGTAATAATGAAAAATAAAAACCGGTGTTACCTTTCTGAAATGGATTGTAAAGGAACATGTGCTTTCACCATGAAATCTAACTAAACCGCTGCTGAAACATTTAACCTCGTTACGAACTTCTTCCGATAACCAACAGCCGCCGTAGGTTCTTTCTGACGTGGGTCTAGCGAACTCCTCTTCATAATTGAACCCCCAAACAGTATTTATCAAAACCCCTCGATCTGAATCGCTTTGCCTTCGATATCGTAAGCAGGAAAATATGTGGTGATTTGCAATGGGTATAGAAATCTAAAAGAGAGTGATGATTCCTCTTCTACACACAATTGAAGGCTTTTTGGGTAATAAACAAAAAAATATAACATATTCTAACCATGAGTAATACATCACACACCTTTGCTTGAAAAAGCAATAAACAATGTTAAATTCTATGTGAACAACACCCGCAGACTGTATTACTTACTTAAGTAGAATGGAATACTATACTACTATTACATTGCAGATTTAAGGTAGAATTCAAGATAAGAAACCTATGGAGACAAGACTATTTACAAGTTGTCTTTTAGGTATACCAACTTCGGTTGCTAGAAGACACAACCACAATTCATTAACCATACTATTAACATCTACCAAATAGTATAAAAACAAATTTTCAAAAAAAAACATCACATGCACACACGTACATGGATATTGATTGATCTACACTGAAATTTAATTGGGAAAGGGCATTGGTAACTCTGGTTAGTAAACCAAGCTTCTGTAAAATATGCGACAAAATGTAACAATCTTAAGGTACATGGTTTCGATACTATTCACTTCTCGGATATAGTATAGACTTATCATTTACATAATACATTTGTTTCTCCCCTTCCACGAACCCAGAATCTATATTGATCAAAAAGCAGAAAATACAAAAATGTTATTGAATTGTTCTTGTATGCACGATCCATATAGAAAATACCTAAATGAAGTCTAAAGCACAAACAGTTGTGGGAGATTAACTTTTTTGGTCCACCGCCGTTAACTGTATCGATCAGATCTGTAAAGTGTTTCTGATTTAATGATTGTAAATACATGCTTGGGTGGTCTCAGAACTGATGACATGGCCCCTTTATGTTACTCAATCAAATTGGAAATACCTTGATTATTTGTCTTTTGCTCTGCAATCTCTTCATTGTGAGAAGACAAAATAATTTTTTGGTTTACAAGAAAGAAAAGTAAATGAGCTCTTTCACCGTTTCACACATACAATAAAAGGTATATTTGTCCAATTTTCACATAATATGTAAATTATCGTAGCCTAAACGTTGTAATGGTTATAAACTTTTTTTCATTATGTTATGTATACTTCTCCAAATTTCTCATAAGAATATTGCCTTGAAATAAATGTAGTCAGTCAAAAGGATAATATAGTACTGGTTTATGCTTACAACTTGCAATGCTTTCGTATCTGCTGAGCAATTGCTGACGCACTATCCGCAGCTGCTTCCAAACAATCCGTAAATTTATGGATTATTTGTCTTTTCTAAGATAATGTGTCATGATTTGTTGACATTTAAGTTTTGAAATTTTATGAAAATTATATAAATCTAGGTCCTAATTATTGACAAATTTACGGGGTTTTTTTAACTGAACGGTTTTTTTTTTGTTTCCATGTTTTTGAGAAAGAAGAAAGTATTTCATTAGTATTAAACAATATCTTTAATTAGTTGATTCAATCAAGTAGAATAGGTCTTGTCTTCCTGATTTGTAGGAAACAAATACCAGTAATTACAGGTTGATTAGGTCAATCAATTGCTCTGTTTTCCTGTCAAGAGGTCTATATTTGAGTAGATTTGGAAATTTACAATATCTGAGCATTTTCTCATTTTGTTATAAATTATTTAATTTTAAAAGTAATATTTAAATTTTTATCATTTTCTGTAGAAATACAAAACAATTTTAGTTTTTTTTTTTTAATTTCCAAATCTTTTTTCTACTTTTAAGAGTTTAAATATATTGTTAAGATTGCAATTAAAAAGGAAAAAGATACATTTAAAATATACGTAGAGATATCTCTACCCATTTATTTTAACTATAGACTGAATTTCAAATTCCTTCAAATCTAATTTGATAGAATTTTTATGAAATCTTTAAATTCATTTGTAGAAATGACTAATTCAATAATCATAAATTTCACAAAATTATTAAATGTTAAATATAATAAAGGAAGATTGAGAAGAAAAAAAATGAAATCATTCCAAATTTCAAATCTCTAATCCAATAAGCATTTGCCCTATATATCACCTTCCCCGTATACCACCTCATCGAACGAGATGTGTTTTTTTATTGGGTATATGCTCACAGTATCTCTTTCGAGGTTTTTTTTTTTTTTTTTTCTCTTTCTCTCTTTCTCTCTCTAGGTATTAAGTAAGTAGAAAGTAACACTTATTATATGGTTTCTTACTTTCATTTAACAACAAGATACTGTATTTATTTGTTTGTTTAATCGGTTAACCCTAATATTCACATTCACACACTATATATATAGATAGGTCGCTGGACAATCCCTATTCCCAACCAAAAGAGCTTCAATAGAAAACATAATCTAGAAAAACTTGTCTTTAATCAAAGCTAAAATGTGTGAACTGGGCCCTCTATTGTTCCCAAAGTTTGGTTTGGCGTTGACGGGAGAGTACGAGAGCTACTCCACCAATGAAACGTCGTTTCTTGATTTTCCGGTACCAAAGACGTATACAGCGGCACATAATCAGACTAACTTAGGGGTTTCTGCTTCATCCGAGGGTAATGGAATGGACAACAATTCGGTCATGATCAAGAAGCTTTGTCACAATGCTAATGAGCGCAACCGTCGCAAGAGGATGAACTCTTTGTTCTCAACTCTTCATTCATGTCTTCCTGCTTCTGATCAACTGGTAATTAGCTGATCTGATATGTAATGTGAATGTGTTTCATATCAAAAAGCAATTAGAAATAATTAGTCTGTATATTCAGTTAGAAGAAGAATATTTTGTTAATCCTTTCTTTACCTTCTTGCAGAAGAAATTAAGCATTCCTCAGACGGTTTTGCGGACCGTGAAGTACATACCGGATCTGCAAGAGCAAGTGAAGAAGCTAACGCAGATGAAGGAAGACCTATTGGTGCGAGCATCGAGTCAAAGAGACATGGAACGTTATTTTAAGCAGCAACCACAAGCGGTTTCTAGTTATGTCTCCACCGTTTTTGCGACTAAACATGGAGACAACGAAGTGATGGTCCAAATCTCATCGTCCAAGATTCATAAGTTTTCGATATATAATGTGTTGAGTGGATTAGAAGAAGATGGTTTTGTTGTTGTGGATGTTTCATCTTCGAGTTCTCGAGGAGAAAGACTTTTCTACACTTTGCATCTTCAAGTGGACAAGGCTAATAATTACAAGCTAATTTGCGAGGAGTTAAGTCAAAAGATATTGTACTTGTATGAATGTGGAAACTCGTTTAGATGATATTTTGTTTTTGGTTCTTTTAGTTATGCTGTCATTTTTTATTTACAGAAATCTTCTTGGCCAATGTGTTGTAGTCGAGTTGCTCTATTTTGGCCGCTAAGGTCGACTACTAATAGAATTAATTGCTACTACGTTCAGGTAACAGATATAAAGTAGAAAGCAAAATTAAGGTATGATCAGCATTGAACCGACGGAGTAGGAATAAACGACATTTATCTTTTCTCTGGAAGTGGACGCTTCTGGCTTTAGACTATAGCCTAATAATATCTTACTTCATATATACCTGAACTTGGTCCTGCCCCTGAATGTGTTCTCTTCTTGAAAACCTAACGGTATACTTATTCAAAATGTTTCTATCGTGAAGAGTTGTGTGACCATTGTTACTAACACTTCTTTGTTGACATCGTATTGTCAGGGAGAGATGGAGGAAACTGGACTCGTTCATCGGCGGCCTCTTCCCCCACCACCACGCCCTTCACCACGTCCACCTCCCCCTCTACCCCAGGAACCGCCATCAATCATAAATGTTGCTTTCCGAGGACATTTTATATTAGTTTTGGAAAAATGTGGGTCAATTAAGAGAATTTTGGAAATTTTGATTAATATTTACAATTTTGGTACTCTGACCAGTTCCTGAAATGTTTTTAGTCTGATGTCTGAGTTACAGCAACATAATTTGCTTAATTTGTGTTAAAGGTAAGGATTCATGTTGACCATATAGATCGATAGTGCCTCTACATGATATATCATCGACCGTTGTTACTCTATCTATTCTTATTAAATAGAAGGAAGGAACATATTCTAAAGTTATGAGTGTATGAAAATGTCAAGAACACCTATTTGTACAGATGGTGATTGATAAAATATTCATGCATTTGAGCTTTCAAAAGATATGTGCCGATCAAATGAGTCAGCTGCTACAACTTTATGGTTTGTTTCCTCGGATTATTTCATGCTTCATATCACAATATATTTGGTCATCTCTTTTGCTTAAATGCCACCTGAATCAGTCAATACTCCGTAGAAACTCAAAAACCCCACTATGTTGGCAACATTGACCAAATTTATCATATATATTTATTTATTTTTAAAAACGAATAATAGCTTAGTATGTCATGACTCGTTGATACTTATACCTTTTTTTTTACATAATTGAACACTGAATAAATAAATAATTCTTTCATGGTAAATGTTTAATAAATATGTTGATAAAATATAAAATCGGCGAGGTAAGTCAACAATTGTAATAAGTTTACTTCAAAGAAAATCAACCTTTTTACAAAAAAAAGAATGAAAATCAACCAAAAATTGTAAATCAAGGGTTTAAAATTCGTAGGTCAAAATATAAGTTAAGTTGAATGACATAATACAAGTTGACAGTTCAAACAAACCAACCTTGCTAAAACTATAAATAATATGGGTTTACTTTCAATAAATCAACCAAGACAAAAAAAAAATGTAAGTTGACAAACATGAAAAATATGTTCAACCGTGATAACAAGTCAATTTAAAAAAAAACAATGAACTAATCAAAATATATCTGTACGTAAGCAAAATTAACTAGTTGATTGATTGAACTGTATAAAGTTATAAGATGTTGATTGATATGTTTGTCAATTTTTATTTTCGTTGATTTGTTTACTTTAAACATGTTTAATATATATAAGTAGATCATATTATTAAGTTGATTGAATAAACATGTAAATTAACGGTTCAACCAAGGTGCCTTTGTCAAAACGTTAAGACAAAATTATATAAATCGACAAAGGAAAACATTTAACAAGAATTAACATGTAGAATAAAGATATAGTGGAAAGCATCATAATGTAGTAGTTAAAGTTTAAAAATTTCACATCTATATATTAGATTTGAATGTTAGACTATAATTTATTGCAAATTATAAGATGTAAAATTTATCGCAGGCTCCAGAATATTGTCGATAGATCTATTCATTGTGATCGTCTGCTGCATAGAACATGCATCAAGAATACCGTATATGCCAGTAGATAGGTGATCATTATATTAATAGAATTAGATATTAATATATTATACTATGATGTAATTGTTAACTTAATATGTAAATTGATAAGTATAAACGTGTTAATCGACAATACGTTGTAACGAAATTTATCAGTCAAAACATAAGTCTAACTATTTTAAAATAAATTGACCAAAAGCAAATAACTCTAGTGCCTTGAAATATGTATAGACAGTTCAACTAGTGAATAACTGCCCTAGATATATATGTATCTATATATTACTCGTATTTGCTTACGAGTCGCTTACGTATCTGCTGACAAGTTATAACATGGAATAATATTGAAAGAAGAGCTTCTTCCACCCTTAACTATCCGTAAATTTAGGTTTTTTGTCTTATTATCATAATTATATAATATGTCATGATTTGTTGATATTTTAAATTTTAGTTCATGAAAATAATATCAATATATATATATATATATATATATATATATATATATGGTCTAACTATTGACAAAATGTACGACTTTCATGTTTTTGACAAAGAATATAGTATTTCATTAATTAGTAGTAAGTTATATGTTTAATTTGGTTGGTTCAATCAAGTAGAGTAAGTATTGTCTTTTTCTTATTTACAGGAAAATCCGACGAAATAAATTGTTTTCTTGTAGTGATATTAATCAGTTTTTTAAAACATTCATGGAAGTCCACATAATTGCTGAACACTATAAGCTAATTGATCTCCATGCATACTGTTGATGATATATTTTACTATTAATAATAACAAAGTTTAGAGAATGGTTCAAGAAACTTACATAAGGAAGGTTTATTAAACTAAGGATTATTTAATATTTTTGTAAGATTTGGTAAGATTTACGTGGACTTTGAAGATATTTGTATAATATTGGTGGAATTTCTCCTTTTTAAAAAGATCTGCTTTCTATTTGCTAAGTTTTTTTTTTTTAATTTTCAAAGTATTTTGAGTGGCTCAATAAATAATGAACTAAAGAAAGTGATTAATTTTTTTAAAGTTTACTTGGTGTATATCTATTTTTCAAATGTAATATGTTTCAAATATAAATTAGCTTTAGTTTTGAGTAGATATGTAAACTATATGAAATTTGAACATTTGATTTCAATTTTTACAAATTATAGTTAAATGTTATGTTTCTTTTTGTCGAAATTTATTTTCTATTGAAATAGAAAAATGATACTTAATTTTCTAAACTTGAATTCCAATGAATGTTGATTCTCATTTGGAGTTTCATGTTTTTTAAGTATTGAAACTAAAAAGGTAAAAAATCTACTGAAAAGAACATTAAATACAATCTGGATTCATGAACTTTTATTTATAGTATTAACTTTAAAATTCTTTCAAATTTAATCTGGTATAATTTGTTGAGTTGGTATTTAAAGATTCTTGTATAAAATACTAATTCAATAACACAATCAATTTTACATAATTATTATAGATGCTAAATTCAATAAAAGAAAAATTGGAAAAAACAGAATCTTTCAGATCTATAATCCAATGAACCCTGTAAGTATCCGCCCCATATACAACCTTCTCTATATATAACCCTATCCAATAAGATGGGGCTTTTTGGGTATATGCTCGTGGTATATGCCCAGAACATGATTTCTCTTACTAGGTCGTATAACACTTCAAAAACACTTATAATATGGTTTCTTAACTTTCATTTGACAAGAGAGATGTATTAGTTTGTTTAATCGGCTAGCCGTACTATCCGCAATCACATGTATATAAATATCTATGTCGCTGGACAATCACAACCAAAACAGTTCAAGAGAAAACATAATCTAAAAAACTTGTCTTTAATCAAAGCTAAAATGTGTGAATTGGGTCCTGCATTGTTTCCAAAATTGGGGTGGGAGTTGAGTGGCGAGCACGAGAGCTACTCAACCAACGCCACGTCATTTCTTGATTTTCCGGTACCAGATATGTACGCAGCGGCTCATCATGAGACCAGCTTAGGGGTTTCTGTTTCGTCCGAGGTAAATGGAATTAACAACAATTCGGTCATGATCAAGAAGCTTTGTCACAATGCTAATGAGCGTAACCGTCGCAAGAAGATCAACTCATTGTTCTCAACTCTTCGTTCATGTCTTCCAGCCTCTGATCAACTGGTAAGTAGCTGATCTGATTTGTCATGTTGATGAGCTTGATTTCGAAAAACAATTTGTAATAATGAGTTTGCATATCCAAATTTGGTACCATTTAGAAGAAGAATATTTATTAACCTTTTCCTTGACTTTATTGCAGAAGAAACTAAGTATTCCTCAGACGGTTTTGCGGACCGTGAAGTACATACCGGAGCTGCAAGAGCAAGTCAAGAAGCTAACCCAAAAGAAAGAAGACCTCCTTGAGCGAGTATCTGGTCAAACAGACACTAAACGTTGCGTAATTAAGCCGCAACCACAAGCGGTTAGTAGTTATGTCTCCACTGTTTTTGCGACTAAGCATGGAGACAACGAAGTGATGGTCCAAATCTCATCGTCCAAGATTCATAAGTTTTCGATATATAATGTGTTGAGTGGATTAGAAGAAGATGGTTTTGTTGTTGTGGATGTTTCATCTTCGAGTTCTCGAGGAGAAAGACTATTCTACACATTGCATCTTCAAGTGGGCAAGACTAATAATTACAAGCTAATTTGTGAGGAGATAAGTCAGAAGATATTGAACTTGTATGAGGGGAGTGGAAACTCGTTCAGATGATAATTTGTTCTTGGTTCTTTTGGTTATTTCTTCCTTTTCTATAGGCAATCATCTTGTTCTGTCTTTTTATTGTCGACATTAGTGGTCGATTACTAATACAATTACCACTACGGTCTTATTATAGCAATAAAAATTAGTTTTTGTCTAGAATTCGACCTAAGAATAGCAGGCGTAACTTTTCTGGGACCAAAACCTTAATGTTGCCTAACACAGGTCACTCCATGTTTTATCTTTTTGCCATGGAGCTTCTCCTGTCCTGACCAGACCTTTTGTAAAACAAAAC